AGTAGCTGTCTCCAGCTGTCGAGTTGTCTCTCCTAGATGAGTAGCTGTCTCCAGCTGTCGAGTTGTCTCTCCTAGATGAGTAGCTGTCTCCAGCTGTCGAGTTGTCTCTCCTAGATGAGTTGCTGTCTCCAGCTGTCGTTGTCTCTCCTAGATGAGTAGCTGTCTCCAGCTGTCGAGTTGTCTCTCCTAGATGAGTAGCTGTCTCCAGCTGTCGAGTTGTCTCTCATAGATGAGTAGCTTTCTCCAGCTGTCGAGTTGTCTCTCCTAGATGAGTAGCTGTCTCCAGCTGTCGAGTTGTCTCTCCTAGATGAGTAGCTGTCGCCAGCTGTCGAGTTGTCTCTCCTAGATGAGTAGCTGTCTCCAGCTGTCGAGTTGTCTCTCCTAGATGAGTAGCTGTCTCCAGCTGTCGAGTTGTCTCTCCTAGATGAGTAGCTGTCTCCAGCTGTCGAGTTGTCTCTCCTAGATGAGTAGCTGTCTCCAGCTGTCGAGTTGTCTCTCCTAGATGAGTAGCTGTCTCCAGCTGTCGAGTTGTCTCTCCTAGATGAGTAGCTGTCTCCAGCTGTCGAGTTGTCTTTCCTAGATGAGTAGCTGTCTCCAGCTGTCGAGTTGTCTCTCCTAGATGAGTAGCTGTCTCCAGCTGTCGAGTTGTCTCTCCTAGATGAGTAGCTGTCTCCAGCTGTCGAGTTGTCTCTCCTAGATGAGTAGCTGTCTCCAGCTGTCGAGTTGTCTCTCCTAGATGAGTAGCTGTCTCCAGCTGTCGAGTTGTCTCTCCTAGATGAGTAGCTGTCTCCAGCTGTCGAGTTGTCTTTCCTAGATGAGTAGCTGTCTCCAGCTGTCGAGTTGTCTCTCCTAGATGAGTAGCTGTCTCCAGCTGTCGAGTTGTCTCTCCTAGATGAGTTGCTGTCTCCAGCTGTCGAGTCTCATTTCACCGACCCGACCACGCCGACCAGCAATGATGTGTTCTAATATCGGCCGTATCTTTTCGCAGTGTCTCTAGTTTGCTTCATTTTTACTTTCTCGTATATAGGCCTACGAAGTATAGAGAAAGTCTTGTAATCGTGCACAAAAATCACATTAAATTTGGACAGTTTTCACCGTTTTACTCCCCAGTCCTTCATCACATCCGGGATGTAGAGGACTTATTTTAATCGGGCAAAAATTATAAATCTAGATATATAAAAATTTTGACGTTTTATGCGTAATGGAGTCGGAAGTCGGAAAAACTGGATTACCCAATTCTGTCCATATGTCTGTGTGTGTGTGTAAACACGATAACTTGAGTACCGTTACAGCTAGGTTGATGAAATTTCTTATATAAGTATTTTATCAAAATCGTAGATCCGTATCAACTTTTGAGCGATTTCCGATAACCGGAAGTGAAACTTTTTCTACTTTGAATTTTTCAAAAGCCTATAGCGTAAGTACTATTTCAGATGGATAAATGAGATTTCACATGTAAGTAAAAGATCTAATTCTCTGCCTTCTATAAAATTTTGAGTAATTTCGGTTGACCTGAATTAATAATTTTCGCTATTTCCGATTTCTCAAAAAATCGCATGTGAATTTATAAAGTACAAATAATATTCTGCACTATTTTGCACATTTTATAAGACGTTCACTTGGTGTGCAATTTTTTTTCCTACGAGATTTTATTCTATTTTTAAAAGTTTAAGTATTTAAAATGGATTAAAAGTCATGTCTATATCCCGAGTTGCCATTCCCTGTTGTTTCATATAAGAATATTCGAGAAAGTTTAGGGGAGATCACTCCCGGTTTATTTTAACTTTTATAATAAGAAGACTAGTCTTCCCGGAATTGGTATGGCAATAAAATCTGAAGCAAACTTATTTGCTTTACAAGTTTTCTTTAATATACAATTATTTGTAAAAAAAAGATTCTAAGAAAATAATTTAAAAAATCTAAATTCCATATTAATTTTAAAAAAAAAGAAAGATTACTCTATACAATTTACCCCCACACTTTTCGCTCCCCCAGCTCCCACATTAATCTTGCTACGACGTCTTCTACACCTGCCCGCCTAAAGCTCCTCTACCTTCGACACTTAAGTCCCATCTTTTAATACAACAGAATACTGTGCTTATATCCACACATTAGTTTTACACATACTGTACACACGGAAAATCAAATAAAAATGAAGTGAAATGAAAAATGTACAAAAAGGCTTCTACTCCATTATCATAGTGTTGATATAATTTTTACAATTATTTTTATATTATTAGAACTAGATAAAAGGGGCCACCCCGCATTAAGAAAGTTTAGATTCTCAGAAAAGGTGGATATATTTTAATAACATAATAACAGTAGGGTAGAAAAATATAATTAAAACTGTTTAGTAATTTTGCGAAGGAAAGTAATTTTAAATAAACCGGGAGTGATCTTCCCTAAACTTTCTCGAATATTCTAATATAAAATTACGAGGGATGGCAACTCAGGACATAGACAATATTTGTTATCCATTTTTAATTACTTAAACATTTTATAATAGAATAGAATCTCGTAAAAAAAAGAATTGCACACCAAGTGAACGCCTAATAAAATGCGAATAAAAGTGTGGGATATTATTAGTACTTTATAAATTTACATGCGTTTTTTGAGAAATCGGAAATAGCGTAAATTAGTACTTTCAGTCAACGGAAATCACTCAAAATTTGAAAGAAGGTAGAGAATTAGATCGTTTACTTAATTGTGAAATTTCATGCATCTATCTAAAATAGTACGCAAGTTTTAGGCTTTTGAAAAATTCAAAGTAGAAAAAGTTTCACTTCCGGTTATCGGAAATCGCTGAAAAGTTGATACGGATCTACGATTTTGATAAAATTTTTATATATAAAATTTCATCAATCTAGCTGTAACGGTACTCAAGTTATTGTGTTTACACACAGACAGACACACAGACCGACACACAGACATACGAACAAGATTGCAAAAGTATGTTTTTCCGTATCAGTGAGGTGTAAAACGTCGATATTCGTAAAAATCTCGTTTTTTTTGCACGATTACAAGACTTTCTCTATACTTTGTATATACGAGAAAGTAAAAATGTGAATGCAAAATCTCCAAGACGGAATAATTGTTGGAATAATATAATTAGCAAAATGTGAATGCAAATTATGCAGACGTTTAAGAGTACATTATTGTTGGAATATTATAATTAGCATTGATTGATAAAAGGCTATCTTTTATTTATTTTATTTACTGAACGTACTGTTTACTAATTATAATTTTTAATCAACTATTTCCCACTATTATATAAAGTCATCAAGTTCATTAGGTGCGCAATAGTTTTAGTCATGAAACTTTATTGTAAATTTTAAAAAGAACTGCAAAAATGCATGAATTTATAAAGTGCAATATGGTCGGTAAAACACGGAAATTCTAAATACTGCCTTTATTAATTTATTTTATACACTGAACGTACTGTTTACAAATTATTATTCTATCTTTCGGTTTGCAGACAAGCTAGGGGTTTTATAGCAGAGGCGTAGCGAGGGGGGACGACATATTTCCCCGAGCGCCGACCTTAGGGGGCCCCAAAAAGTGTTGGAAAAATTGAAAATTTGCGGCGGCGGGTGAAAATCGAAAGTTTGAGGGGGGAGGGGGTGCAAATCAAAAGTTTAAGTGGAGGGGGGGGGGGGGGGGGTTGCAAATTGAAAGTTTGTCCCCTGGCGCCGGGAAGGGTCGATACGCCTCTGTTTTAGAGTCCTTCACTGAGTCAGGTGCGTCCGCCGACGCTCGGTAAGGGCGCAATTAGTCGCAACAGGCTAGACTGTGAGCAATATGCCTTTATGATTGCATTTAAATTGTTTTTATGTTGTGAGTGTTGTGCTTGTTTTTCATTTGTGTTTTTTTTTTGCGTTCGTTTGTGTTGTTTTACTTTTTTTCTGTTCCCAAGTTGGTACACTTAAAAAAGATTTACCGTGTTAAAAAGTCTTTTAAGAGCAAATTTGACAAATCCCGACAATAGTGGAGTGGGGGGTGAAAATCGATAGTTTGAGGGGGGGGGGGGTTGCTAATCGAATGTTTGAGGGGGAGGGATGAACATAGAAAGTTTGAGGGACGGGGGTGGGGTGCAAATCAAAAATTGAAAGTGTGTCCCTGAGCGCCGGGAAGGGTCGCTACGCCTCTGGGGGGGGGGGGGGGGGGAGGGATGACACCAGTAAGTGCCGCAACAGGTGACACCCGCCATAGCTACGTCACTGGGGTCTATTTATGTGACAAATTTTTAATGCAAGAAAGGCTATCTTTGGGCACGGACTCCAAGGAAAGCGTGTCACACTCGTTGCGGAGAGGGGGGGTCTGTAAGTATTTGAGTGTGTGATGAGGGGGAGACGGGGGGGGGGGGGGGGGGGGGTTCAGATGGTGTGACGTCACACTTTTGCATAAAAAAATGTTAGAAAACAAATTTTAGCCGTTATTTCGAGTTTTAAAAAACTGTTTTAATAAGTTGTAACAGGAATTGATTAAAATACTCAATGTTGACAGAGTTCAGTCACAGTTTAAAAAAAATTTCAGTTTTTAAGAAAAATTCAACTGCAATTTTGAGGGAGGTAGTATGCTGAGGTGTGACGTCATTTTAAGGGGGGGGGGGGGGGGGTGGGTCTGGCTTTTTGTGATGATGTGTGACTCGGGGGAGGGGGAGGTAAAAATCGTCAAAAAAGCGTGACGTCATTTATGGATGGCCCCATATATATATATATATATATATATATATATATATATATATATATATATATATATATATATATATATATGTATATGAATATTAATATATATATATATATATATATATATATATATATATATATATATATATATATATATATATATATATATATATATATATATATATATATATATATTATAATTTATATGAATACAATACAAATAGTTCAGTAATATGTACTCATATATACTCATGTGTGAAATATCTGTCTTTTCGCTTCACCAAAATACTTGCAGTTCAACTTGACATCAACATCATGAAAAGCCTTCATATCAAAGCAATAGTCATCATCACATTTTTCATATCTGTGTTCATCTTCTGCAAACATTTCAAGTGAGTAATTTTTATGTTTGTATATACTGTGTTTTAAATTTCAACAGATCAGCTAACTTAAAGGACATATTTAAACTAAACAAAGAAAATTACACAACACATTGAGGTTGAAACAAAAAATGCTTATAGTTTTTTTTTGGATTGATTTTGGTTTTACTTTTGAAATATGTCAAATTTGTCGTTTAAACGTTAACGCTGTATATCTTCGATCTATTTTTAGGGATAACTCAGATAAAGAGACATGTTCTCATATAGCTACGAAGGAATCGCTTACTGCCCGTGGGTCGTTCTCTACAGACGCCAGAGTGACACTGATAAATATATCCAGCACAAACCATCCATTGACGTCCGCTCCTAGTACTCAACCAGCCACGCCAGCGCTGTATGTTCTAGTCACGTCTGGAAACTTCGTCCACAGATTAGGCAACCAGCTGTTTATATGCGCATCCCTGCTAGGTATAGCCAGGAAGCAGAACAGGATCCCGATACTTGAGGACGGAAAGGACTTGGTTAAAGCGTTTGAGATAAACGTTGGTGTAAACAAGATTAAAGCTACTGGGTTAGTGTTTGGTTTATTGATTAAAGCAGTGTTTGGGTTATTGGTTAAAGCGTTTGAGATAAACGTTGGTATACACAAGATTAAAGCTACTGGGTTAGTGTTTGCGTTATTGGTTAAAGCAGTGTTTGGGTTATTGTTTAAAGCGTTTGAGATAAACGTTGGTATAAACAAGATTAAAGCCACTGGGTTAGTGTTTGGTTTATTGGTTAAAGCAGTGTTTGGGTTATTGGTTAAAATGTTTGAGATAAACGTTGGTATAAACAAGATTAAACCCACTGGGTTAGTGTTTGGTTTATTGGTTAAAGCAGTGTTTGGGTTATTGGTTAAAATGTTTGAGATAAACGTTGGTATAAACAAGATTAAAGCCACTGGGTTAGTGTTTGGTTTATTGGTTAAAGCAGTGTTTGGGTTATTGGTTAAAATGTTTGAGATAAACGTTGGTATAAACAAGATTAAAGCCACTTGTATTTAATTTATTTACTCTGGAGCAACGCCCCTATGCAGATGTATGTAACACAAAAATAAGTAATTTCAATAGAATCACTTCTAAATCTAAAGGAAGGTCTTGTCAAAAGGGTAAAAGATACAGCTGCGAACTTGAAAATTTCAAATTCAGATCCAGGTATCGAATATCTAGAAGCATCCATAAGTCCACCCAACTATGATGGGTACCGGGCTCACGTTGGTGGACAATAGGCAGGTATCTATTGTGCTGACCACACTTTCATCCTTTTTGACGAGGTCATTGAAACAGATAAACTTAATTAATCTGACCCATTTGTCTTAGGCACGAACGGGAAAACATTTTTAAATACATTCCCTCTCGTATTAACCATGGTGCAGTTTTGTCAAATATATAAAATGAGCCGACCAGCGACGTAGCATACGCCGCTATTTAGTTGTTTTATTTTCTATTTTTAGTAATTCAGAATGTGTGTATTCGAAACTACTCATTCTGCGACTAAAAATATTTTGCTTTAAGACATTATCAGTAACTCGTGAAAGTCGATTATCTTTCCCTTCCCTCCTACCCACTTGAAACCAGAACTTACTTCCCCTAAGTTTCAAATCGTTTAAAAACTAAATTATCTGCCCCTAATAGCCGTCACTAATTCGATCCGGTTCCCCACGTAGAGAATTATATATATATAGATAGATAGATAGATAGATAGATAGATAATACAGTAGATCACGAACTATTTAGAAGCCTAAAATTGAGTTAAAAGAGAAAAAAATGTGTCTAAGTTAATCATAAAACATCACAGTAGTAGAAGCTACGCAGTGCAACATCAGTTTTGTATTATATTGTTCAATACAACCCCATACCCCCATACCCCCATACCCGATGATATTAACTATCAGAAAACATTGAGGCTTCAGAATCAGTTCTAAAACATACGTTCTTTAGAAAAATATTTTCTTACTTGCGTTACAATTCTATTTTCAGCTGGGACGACATTCACCAGCGAATGGTCGGTATCTACGAACCAAAGTTCATGAACCTCCCACAGAAGAACGTCACGGTGTCCGGCTCTCTCCAGTCATGGCGGTTTTTCTCTCACATCCAGGACGAGATAAGACGAGAGTTTACATTTCGTCCAATCATCCAACAGAAGACAACACGGTTTTACAACAGTTTACGCGAGAACTACACTGACACCGTGTTCATTGGCGTTCATGTAAGGCGGGCGGACTTTTTAACACCGGACAATTTAAAACTTGGGTTCCAGTCTCCGGATGTCGCGTATTTCACAAAAGCGTTTAACTATATGAGGAGCATAGTATCCAACAACACCTTGTTTATAGTGGCCAGCGACGACTTGGAGTGGTGTAGGGTTAACCTCAACCACACTGACGTCAAACTGTTGGAGCCGGACTCACCAGAAAACCACATGAGTATTTTGTCCAGCAGCGATCACGTGATAATCACCGGCGGCTCGTTCGGATGGTGGTCTGCATGGTTGGCTAGAGGCCTCAAGATCTATTTTAAGGGATTTCCTAATCCGGGTACGAAACTTGCTAAGGAATTTAATCTCAGAGATTACTACCCGCCTGGGTGGATAGGTTTAGACAACTAGAGAGAGGTCAAAGGTCGTGGATAGGTTTAGACAACTAGAGAAAGGTCAAAGGTCGTGGATAGGTTTAGACAACTAGAGATAGGTCCAAGGTCGTGGATAGGTTTAGACAACTAGAGAAAGGTCAAAGGTCGTGGATAGGTTTAGACAACTAGAGATAGGTCAAATGTCGTGGGTAGGTTTAGACAACTAGAGATAGGTCAAAGGTCGTGGATAGGTTTAGACAACTAGAGATAGGTCAAAGGTCGTGGATAGGTTTAGACAACTAGAGATAGGTCAAAGGTCGTGGATAGGTTTAGACAACTAGAGAAAGGTCAAAGGTCATTGATTGGATTAGCCCTAACGCTTTGTGTTTGTTACAATTTGCCCAAGTCTAATATCAGAATTACAGTAGAAACTAGGCTGCTAAATTAAAAACTATTTTGAAAGGAAGCTACATTAAAAATATATATATTTCGTATTTGAATACTAAAACGTAAAAAAACTTAAACTCTCAGTTTATTTTTCTCTCGTTTAAAAAAAAACCCATCAGATATGCAATTTACAGCCTCAATTTGCCTTGCCTGTTCGCTTTAGCATTTTTGTTTTCTGCATGAGGAGTAATTTAAGTCTGAATGTAATTTATAGTTAGTGTGATCATAGCAATATGTTATAAAAAAGTTAATATGTAATACCCGATTTTATGTTAAACGATTTTTTGGAAATGTAATTCTTAATTTAATATTTTTGGCTACGTCACATAATTTTTATCGCAGCGAAAATAAAATAAGATTGGTTTATTTTTGTGAATTGTGCACCTAGATAAATGTTGGGTTATGAAATCGTGTAGGGCGTGAAAACAGGGTGCCTTCCCTTAAAGGCAGGGACAATATTTGAAAAAAAAAACAAAAAAAAAAAACAGCAGTACAATTGAACACACTGTCTAGTGGAGCTGAAAGCTAGTTACACGCCATAAAAGCAGTGAATGTAAGAGGAATAGTGGGGGCGCGGGAGGGGGACGGGGAGAGGTGACGACGACAAAACATTTTAGTATTTATTTTCGTTTAATAGCAAAGTTCCATTTTAATCCTGACTGTTCATGGGGGAAGTAAAGTAGAGTTCAGCTGTTTCTGTGACCGCGGAATATGAAGGGATAGTGTGGTCAGAATTATATCCAACCGCCTTTACGTCTCAAGGACGTTCTAGTGACCTAAACCCGACTTAGAACTCGAGACTTTCGGGTCAGAAATCTAGCGCTCGACCGCTAAACCATTCCGTTCGACGTTGGTTTAATATTTATGTATTGTGTTATAAACGGGTTGAAAATATTTTGATGTTGTACAAATGAGGACCAATCAAAAATCAAATTCTTATCGGTAGTGCATACGAATAACAAATATAAAGATTTTTCGTTGATACATCCTACTTACTTGTGCTATTGTTGGTCTAAAGTTATTTTAAGTTTTGAGGGAATGTATAAGAATTCAGGAGATATGGATTTTTAAAATTATTGGTAAATATTTTTGTACTAACCTTGACAGTGTGTTATCGTTTCCAATGTTGCCTGCCTGCTTATATATATATATATATATATATATATATATATATATATATATATATATATATATATATGTATATATATACATATATATGCATATATGGTGTGTGTGCGTGTGTTTATTCATTATTCGTTCTAACAAATGTTGTTTTTCAAATACTACCTAGATGTGTTTTATTGTTGTTTCTGTTGCTCTCTTTTGTGTGATATAATTAACTATCGCTTCACTTATATAAATACACCACGAAAATGCTTACATTGTGTCTGTTTTTTTAAATAATTTTCAATTATTCTCCTTGCTTTGTAGGCTTTTTCCTTTTATAACGTAATCCCACTTTTTATATTCAATGAGTTTCTTTCTTTCCTGTGTTATTGTTATTTTGCTGTCATATAACTGAAGACAACTGTAGTCCCTATATAGTTTTATCATGTGTTTATTTCCGCCACAAAGAATGGCATGTTGTTAGTCCGGCGTTTAGCTGGAATATGTTTATGTTGTGTGGGCTTCTCAGTTACAAGTAGTAGTCTTGATCTCTCACTAACAATGCACGTTATCATTTCAATTATTGCAGTGTATTTTATATGGATGTTATAAATGTCTTATATACTATTGGATCTTATTATTTTTGAATTTCATTTATGAAATAAAGGGGAATAACCCAGTACGTATTAAATGACCATCAAACACTTGGCACTAATACAAATCATCTGACTATAAAAAAAAGATCACCTGGCTATGATAAAAATCACCTGAATATGACAAATATCACCTATGACAAAGATCATGTGACTATGACAAAGATCACCTATTACAAAGATCACCTGGCTATGACAAAGATCACCTGGCTATGATAAAGGTCACCTGAGTATGACAAAGATCACCTATTACAAAGATCACCTGATTATGACAAAGATCAACTGACTATGACAAAGATAATCTATGACAAAGATCAACTATGACAATGATCACCTGGCTATAACGAAGATCACCTTTGACAAAGATCACCTGACTATCATAAATATCACCTATGACAAATTTCACCTATGACAAAGATCACCCGGCTATGGCAAAGATCACCTGGCTATGACAAAGATCACCTATGACAAAGATCAACTATGACAAAGATCATCTAGCTATGACGAAGATCATCTGGCTATGTATACATATCACCTTAGTGTTGCAATCTCACTTTTTACAGTGAACGATAAACACCTCACAGCTATTCTGTTTAGAAAAGTTGGTTTTTCTTTTTAAAATAATCTGGTTTCGAACTCGGAACTTCTCCATTTAGCAGCCATGGATTCTAACGACGTGACCACGATGATCACTAACATATTTTATAAATCATCGTTGCTCAGGTTTCCTACACTAAAAAGTAAAAGGTGATTTGAAAAAAAAAATAGAAGCGACAGTTTTGATGACCAAGCTTCTTTCATACGAATGTATTGTTTTCAATGTAAGTAACCCAAGACTCAGTACACCGATTATTGATTGTCACAATAGAGCCACATATACAAGGAGATTAAAGCAGATTAATTTAACATTCACTTGTATTAAATGTTAAGCCAACGATTACCAGTGCGTTATCGAAAGATTTGTCAAGACGGGGACTTGAAACAGCGAATCGATCTACAACACACAGTGTCGCTACCTACAACACACAGTGACTCGATATACAACACATAGTGACTCGATATTCAACATACTGTGACTCCACCAACAACACACAGTGGCTCCACCAACAACACACAGTGATTCTACCTACAACACATAGTGGCTCCACATACAACACATAGTGGCTCCACATACAACAAACAGTGACATTGTAACAACACGGTGTTACACATACAGCAAAAAGTTTTTTTATGTGTAGGTGAGAAAAAGATTGTCAGCTTGTGTAAACATGTGGGCAAAACGTGTGCCTAGCCTGCTACCTAATCATTTACTGACTTTTTTATCCACCCAAACGCTCTATTAATCCCTCCCTCCCTCCCTCCCTCCCTCCCTACTCCCTCCCTCCCTCCCTCCCTCCCTCCCTCCCTCCCTCCCTCCCTCCCTCCCTCCCTCCCTCCCTCCCTCCATCCCTCCCTCCATCCCTCCATCCATCCCTCCATCCATCCCTCCATCCATCCATCCCTCCCTCCCTCCATTCCTCCCTCCATCCATCCCTCCATCCATCCATCCATCCATCCATCCATCCATCCATCCATCCATCCATCCATCCATCCATCCATCCATCCATCCATCCATCCATCCATCCATCCATCCATCCATCCATCCATCCATCCATCCATCCATCCATCCATCCATCCATCCATCCATCCATCCATCCATCCATCCATCCATCCATCCATCCATCCATCCATCCATCCATCCATCCATCCATCCATCCGTCCATCCATCCATCCATCCGTCCATCCATCCATCCATCCATCCATCCATCCATCCGTCCATCCATCCATCCATCCGTCCATCCATCCATCCATCCATCCATCCATCCATCCATCCATCCATCCATCCATCCATCCATCCATCCATCCATCCATCCATCCATCCATCCATCCATCCGTCCATCCGTCCATCCGTCCATCCGTCCATCCGTCCATCCATCCATCCTCCGTCCGTCCGTCCGTCCGTCCGTCCGTCCGTCCGTCCATTTATCCATCCATCTATCCATCCATTCGTCCATCTGTCTACCCTTCTACCCATCCATCCGTACATCCATCCATCCACCAATTCGTCCGTCCACCCGTTCTTGTACGTTATTTCGTTGCCGCTGTTTATTCTGTTTATTCTGTTTTTAATTTTTCCATTTCGTAACAATTTACCAAATGTTGCCTTAGTTTTAACGTTATATTCCGTAGACATAAACTTGTAACAGATAAACAACAAAGGCAAGCTGTTATAGCTTCATCGTTAATAATCAATTAGAATGTCATCAGTTCTAAATACAGTAATCCCTCGCTACTTGACGGTTTATTTTTCCTGGCCTTAGTACATCGCGGATTGTTCAAATCAACAAAATTAAGGAACAGTTTTGTGAAAGTAGTCCTCATGCTAACAGAAGACAAGGAGTGCCCACACAATCCCAAATCCAGAAAGCTCTTATTAATCGGTGTAGTAAATGATCTTCGTCTTTTTCACCTCAATGGTACTGCATAGCAGAGGCGTAGCTACCCTTCCCGGCGCCCGATTTGCACCCCCCCCTCAAGATTTCGATTTGCACCCCCTACCCTCAAACTTTCGATTTGCACCCCCCCCCCCCCTTTTAATTTATTTTTCCAACCCATTTTGGCGCCCCCTAAGGTCGGCGCCCGGTGACATATGTCCCCCCCCCCCCGCTACGCTACTGCTGCATAGGTTTTTCATCGATATTTATAAAAAAAAAACAAAGCGGAGAGAACTCGTGTCAACCTGTTTGAAGTTTCTGTAACAAAACGTTGTTAATTTCTCGATTTCTATTAGACAACATATGGACACTCTCCATCGCAAAATAACAATCTGTTACAACACTTGGTAAATATTTATAAAATATCTTAGATTATAAATCATATTTTCTAAATGATCCTCGGTGAGTCTATATTACATAATACAATGAACGAACCTTTTGCTCTCACTACCACAGCGCATGCTACGTTGTAGTAGAATATTTACAAGAGACATATACCCACTCATAATACATAGCTAATTTACTCCCAAACCTAAAACACACACACGTTCGCGCGCGCGCGCAAACACGCACATACACACACATAATTTTACAAAACTTCACTCCGCTTGAGTTTAGATCACGAAATATTTTGTTTTATTTGTTTAATCTACATGCACTTTGAGAAATGAACATAAAGCGTTATTAACATTTAGAAATAAATTGTGTTTTGAGAAAAGTTATGGTATAATGCTCATTAATACAACACCAACTAATTAAACATAAGACTTAAAACAAAGGATATCACTGCGATTTAAAACATGACAATATCAAATTACTTTCCTTGTATATAAGACAATTGATGCAATTGATTTAAATACAGTATACTCTACAATAAAACTTGTATTGGATTAGTAAGTTTTTCCCAAACAAGAACATAAATCATAAATCGATTAGGTATTGATTAAAACATTTCGCTTGGTGTTGTTTGTCAGCTTCATCACAAAGACACTTTCAGTCTTTAAAGTAACAGACTAAGACGAATCGTCAACAACGTTGATATCACGTTGTATCGCAAATAAACTGAGTGAGTACACTTTAGTATAATTTTAGATATATACCTAGTTCTTTTATTATTATATTTAAATAACTTTAAACATAAAAAGAAAGGGATTTGCTGTTTTCTTTATGAATAAAACTGAATTTGTTGTTTACCTCTACCAATAACTGATTCCAATACTAATACCAACACCAACACCATCATCAAAACCAACACTAACATCAGCACCAAGAGCAATAGCAAAATAAACACCAACACCGACACCGACACCGATACAAATACCAGTACCAACAACAACACCAACAATACCAATACACATATCCTTACCCATACGCACAACTATTAACATCTAAACAAAACATTTACCAGTATGGCTTTAAGCTCAAACCTTTGATTTTAAGAACAAAATTATTTGCTTTTATATTAAAGTACAGAATATATTTAACAGAAATTGCCAGGCCATTTATGTCTGATTAATTTCGACTTTAATTTTCTATCACCAGTCTGAAGTAGATGAACGGTTGTTCGTGCTATTTTAAAATGGGTCGCATTACAATGTTAAAGCTCATCAGATGGCTAATGCTATGGATACTGACGTCTTCTCTGTTGGTTGTTCTTGTGTTTGTTAACCAACGTAACACCACACATCATTCGCCACCTTTCAAAACCTTCAGCGGCATCAAGAGGTAACAACTTTTTTCTTTGGCTTAAAGCAACGTTTCTTTAAGTAACTTCTTCTTGCTTGAAATAAAAAGTGGACCACGCTAGGTAGTGTGTCAGTCCTTCATTCCGTCATCGGTGTAGCAACTTTGATTTCGTTTTTAAAGCTGGAAGAATATGTAGTGTTTAAAAAACATGAATAAAATATTGCTTACGCTCACATAGCTAAAAATGTTCAGCTATTCAATGTCAAAATTGTTTTCTCTTAGACTTGTGGATGAAAAGGGGAAATTATTAATGATAGTAGAGTAAATTCAATTAATTACATTTCTAAAGGTAAGGGAGGTAATTTAAAGGAAGGGAGGGGACGACTACTCCGCGTGTTTTGAGGTGTATGCGTGCAGTGAAATAAGCTGTGGTGTACTGGGAATAGTTTGGGATAAGACAGTAATTGAGTGGGGATCATGCGATACGTGGTGTGAGGTGTGGGTTGTGCTATGTGAAGTAGTGAAGGTGGGACGTGGACGGTGGGTTTTAATGTATTGAATGTAGTGTTTTTTGCGAGGTGGGGGTATGCGATGATGTGGTTAAAGTTGTTGGGTGGCGTTTGGAGCGAATGTTGACGTCTAGACAGTGGTAGTGTGGGGTTAATTTTGGGGTGAGGTGAGAGGTGTATGGGTTGAGGTGTGGAGCGAAGAGGGTTTTGATCAACTCCGTGTGTTGTGTTTTGAATGCGTGTGGTGAATCATGTGTATGAGTGATTGGGTGTGTGAGTTTTGCTATATGGTGTCTCGGGACGTGTTGTGTTGGTAAGGGAAGGGCGTAAGTTGGCGTGCAGGACGGGGTGGTGTGGTGTTTGGTTTGTGGTGCGTGATGTCTTGGGGGGTGAAGTGCGTTGGTTTGTTTCACTTATTTATTTTCAATATCTTATTTTGTGAAATTTATATATATTATTTCAAGAAAATTTTTAAATCCTCCAAAACGTTTATTGTAAAGTTCCACACCGTAGGGAAGCACGTGTATCCTGCTCGTCTATAATATAAGCCAATAGGTAGTGTGTCATTCCATCCGTAAACATTATAACAATGTTGTCTTCGCTTTTTAATCGCTAAAGTAGCTTTTACTTATACAATACTTTGTAAGTACTTCATTCTACTCCTATGCGTGCACCGCATCGTCTTACTACAAGTGATTGGAAAAAAGTGTATTTTGTTCTGCCTAAGTTTATTTTAGTTGCAGCAAAGTTTCCATCAACTCGCATATTGGACACAAGAACATAAAGAAAATATTGAATAGATCCACATTGTTAAATACTTTAAAACTATTCAATGTCAGAATTATTTTCACTTTGATGAAACAAAAGTAATACATATTTATAATGGTGGAGTGGAAACGATCAATTAATTAAATGTTTAAAAATCTCTTTGATACTTACTATGTTATTTAAGCTTTTTCTTTTCTTTTCTTGTTGTTTTAAGGGCCGTAATTTATTGATATTAAAGGTTTAATACTGTTTACGATTTTTTGTTAAGTGGGTACGGAGCATTGTGTTAAATAATAGTGTGTTCTAAAGATCAAAACGAATTTGTTTTTAACTAGTTGTTTCGAGTTTTGTGTAATAAATAATTTTCTCGAAATATTTAATAATGAACTACTATATTTCCCGTATTTAACAGATCATTGCAGCATGACAAGTGGATAGTCGTGACGTCAATAGCGAGCCCTACAGAGCAGGTCAAGTACCTGGCCATGTTGAAAGACTGGCGTTTGGTTGTTGTTGGGGATCGGAAGTCTCCAGCGACGTGGAGGTGAGAGATCACATTGTCTAAAGTTTCAAAAGTTTTCAATGGGTAGAAATCACGAAGTTTTTTAAGCGCACAGTCGCGTTCGGCTCGGTGTGGTTGTGACGTAACATTACACACATTGATCCCAACAGACGGCTAAAAATTATTGGAAAAATACAAATACATGAAAAAAAATAACTTAACTTAATTAATTTTTTTAAAATAAAAAAACGTTTTAATAACAAAATTTTAAATACGTATGCATTAAAAACGAGAAAACCATATTTTGTTTTTAAATATATTATAAACACAAGTATTTAAATAACTCTAAAGAAAATCGTGGGTCAGTATGTTAGCTGTTGAATTCCTTTACTAAAATCTGAGAAGCAGATAAACATAAATAGTGGTGCATTACAATATATTTAAAGAAAATCATTTATTTTCTACTTTTTAATAAACGCTTATTTCATGTTTTACTTCTTCATGAAACTACAATGAACTTTGCATTCACCATATGTTGATATGTTATGTCTCATTCCCGCCTACTCTTGCAGTTTACCAGGCTGCGATTATCTCAGTGTTGAGACTCAGAAACAGCTGGGATATGACGTAATAGATCACTTACCTTATGGAAGCTACGCTAGAAAAAACATTGGTTACCTGTTCGCAATACAGAATGGAGCTAAGGTCATTTACGAAACTGATGATGACAACAGGTTAACTACTCCTACTTTTAGATAATTTAGCGATCATTTTGTTCTGTATATATTTCATATTTTTTTTAATATCTTAAACTAGCTCTCCCGGCCAGGCCTTGCACTGGCCTCTGTGAAAAACCGGATATTTCCCCATGTATTTACCCCCCGGAGAAATTACCCCACTGTCAATTACCCCCCCCCCCCCTGTCAATTACCCTCCTCGGGAAATTATCCCCCCCCCTCTCAAGTTAGAATCCTAACTCAAACAAGATTTCTATACCTATATACTACTTTAATCCAAACCTTAAGAAAAAGACCAAAACCTAAGCATCCACCTTAGCCTAAAACTTCACACAAAACCAAAACCAACGCTAGACACAACCCTAACCCTAACCCTAACACTAGCTCTAACCCTAACCCTAACCCTAGCCCTAGTCCTAACCCTAACCCTAACCCTAACCCTAACCCTAACCCTAACCCTAACCCTAACCCTAACCCTAACCCTAACCCTAACCCTAACCCTAACCCTAACCCTAACCCTAACCCTAACCCTAACCCTAACCCTAACCCTAACCCTAACCCTAACCCTAACCCTAACCCTAATCCTAACCCTAACCCTAACCCTAACCCTAACCCTAACCCTAACCTTAACCTTAACCCTAGCCCTAGCCCTAGCCCTAACCCTAACCCTAACCCTAACCCTAACCCTAAACATAAACCTAGCCCTAGCCCTAGCCCTAGCCCTAGCCCTAGCCCTAGCCCTAGCCCTAGCCCTAGCCCTAGCCCTAGCCCTAGCCCTAGCCCTAGCCCTAGCCCTAGCCCTAGCCCTAACCCTAACCCTAACCCTAACCCTAACCCAGTGGCGTGTGTTTTAACATTACACTGTCCGTATGGCAAAACTTATATAGAAACAGCGGGCATCAGTGAAGGGTAGTCCTACGGAAGTCAATGATATTCCATTAATAAATGTGTGTCATATTTATTTAGTATAGTGTAGGGGCATCGTTTAGAGTACTTGTGACCAAGTTATTCCCATGCACTGTAAGGGCATCTTTAAATTAATATGCGCGTATTCGTTATACTCATTTTCAAGGACATCCGTCGAGTAATTAAATCATATTTATTTGTATACACTGTAGGGGCATCTTTAAAGTAATTATTCGTATATTCATTATAATATATTTTATGAGCATTTACTAATATGCCCACTTCACTTTATAATACATTTTAAAGGCATCCATACAGTAAGTATGCCCATCTTCATTTTATATATTGTAGGGGCATCTTGAAAGTAATTAAGCTTATATTCATGTATTACACTCGAAGGACATGCAACAGTAATTACACCAATCATCGTTGTTAACATTTGGGGCATCTCTAAAGCTATTTTTTAATGTACTTCCTCATTATTATCCATTTTAAGGGCATCCAAAGGGTAATTATGCCCATATTATTATTATAAATTTTTGGGGCATCTTTGGTGAAATATATGGCCATTTGCAGTGTAATAACTTTTTTTTTGTTAAATTGTATGGGCAGCATTCAGTGGCGTAGCTAGGATTTTCGGTCCCCTATGCAAAAATTAACAATGTTAATGTTAGTCGCCCGTCCTCCCCCACACTGAATGCCACTGCCTGTACACTAAGAAAGGACTTGGGGCCTTTTTTAAATTAAATTATTTCTACAGTAGAAAAAAAAACTTGATTTAATTAATTTTAAAAAAATTATTTATATAAAATAAATATCAAAATTCCAATGTAAAAGTTTTAACTTTTTAAAAGAAGGAAAATGGCCCCTATTTGCCTTGGGCCCCTATGCCTTGCTTACTCTAGCTTTACGGTAGCTAAGCCACTGGCAGCCATTAGTATATTTTTGTTTCATGCATTATATAAGCATACTTAAGAATAAGAATGCCCATATAATGTTTTTGATACACATTAGCGTCAATCTTAAGAATACGAATCAACATATTGTTTTCGATACATTGTAATGATATCATTCAGAATAATTGCGCCCATATTGATTTTTACAAATAGGAGGAGCATGCTTTAAGTAGTGTTAAAGTTAAAGTTTTTAACTCTGAGTAGAGCTTTCTTTAAAGTAATTGGGAGCACATGCAGAGCCAGTTTTATTTCAGTTAATAGTAGAGCTATCTATAGAGTTATTGAGCCCATAATGATGTAATGAAATGTGGGGATGCGGTGTGGGTTTTTAGGCTATGGAAGCCGTTAGTGGATTATCCCCCACCTGAACTAGACAGACGTACTTGGGTGTTAAATTTGTGAAAACGCGTCCAAGCCTAGGGAGGGTCTGACATAGCATAGTGGATTTTTAAACACAGTCCGATGTAGAAATGTTTTTTTAAGCTGGCAGCTTTAGGGGTCATCCATTTATGACGTCCACACGGGGGGGGGGGGGGGGGGGGGGTCCGAAAAAAATTGACTTTTGTGGACGCGTGTGGACAGGGGGAGGGGGGGTTGGCCCAATGTGGACGTCCACACATTAAATCTAACATTATTTTTGGTAGTGTGAAAAAAAAATATTTCCTAGCGAAGCTAAAGTTCAACTATCCTATCTCTCTGGCCCTTTAACCACCCAGCTTGGGTCTATGCCCTGGCCTAACCTGGAATACAATAAGATATCCAATTACAAGTGTCCCCACATTTGCATCCCAGGTCAAATACCAGGCGACCACTTCTCTAGGTAGGCGGGGTCATCCCAGTTCAGTTGTGAGACGGGAGAGGGGTGGAGGGGGGGGGGGGGACACGAAGGACAATAAAACACATTTGTACCAGTATTTGTAATACTATATACACTCAGAGTATATACACACTTAATGCAGTAGCTTGAGTAATAGTGGAAGAAGATTATGCAAAAACTTATAGTCAGTGTGGACGTCCACGGGATGGGGGGGGGGGGGGGGGGGGGGGTCCGTCAAAAGTGGAAGTTTGTGGACAGGGAAGAGGGGGGGGGGGGTCCAAAATCCCAAAAATGTGTGGACGTCATAAATGGATGACCCCTTAGCCAACCAAGGTACACTTCTGTTATATTCAAGGTTAAGATAGTTTGAGAGTATCTAGCTAGCATCACCCATCTCTTTAAAGAGTTGACGTTTTGACCAAGTGGTTTAGAGAGAAAAATCTGAAACATCTCTAGTTCAATGCACACTCTCACCTGTATTAGTTACACTATAGGAATTCCTAAACAGGCCAAGAGAGAAACATCCCATTAATAAAGGCGTATCTGACGCCCTAATTGTAGACACGGACAGCGTTTTTGTCCCTGCGGTCCCGGGTGGTAATACAATACCGGATGAGACTCTTTTGTAGTGCATCACAGCCCCCCCCCTCCCCACCACGACCCGTCCCGCAATTGTCTTCCCCCCCCCCCCTTCTCCCAAGTTCCAACCATTCATTCCATTTGGATTTAGCTGGCTGTAGTCAACGTTTTCATCTCAATTAAGATAAGTACATTTTTTTAAATAAATGATATATATATATATATATATATATATATATATATATATATATATATATATATATATATATATTTATGGGGGCATCTTCCGCTTGATTTTGCCCCGGGCATCTACATAGGTCTGCACGCCACTGCCCTAACCCTGTCCGGGGGGGGGGGGGGTAATTTCCTACTGGGCCGGGGGGGGGGGGTTAATTGATAGGGGGGGGGTAATTACTCTGGGGGGTAATGTCGGGGGGGGGGGGAATGTACGGGGGTAATTGACAGGTTGGAAATGCCCTGTTCCCCTGTAAAGGACCATGACATGTGTGTTTAATAATCAGAATATACCCGGCATTGCCCACCCTAACCACAACCTTCCAAAACAACAACACAAAAAAATCGCAAACATAACACAAATACAAACACAAACGCAATACCAAACACAAACGCAAACATAAACACAAACAAAACACAAACATAAACGCAAACAAAATAAGCAAACGAAAACAACCCAAATCCATACGCAAACACAAACCCAAACACAAACGTAAACCCAACCCAAACACAAATAAACACAAACGCAAACGTAAACGCTAAGTGCTCTTAGTCTAGCCCGGGGCGCCAAATTGCACCAGGCGGGACCGTCTGTTTCAGCTTAGTAAACAACTATAGTAACTCAACTTATTCATAGCCTTTTGCACTCACTTAAACAAGCGTAGGCGCCACAACGAACACGGGAAGGCCCGGGCCACCAAAAAAAGCACCCTGTCGGGGCGCCGGAGGACGCCCGGATTTGATTCACTTAAAGACTATAGTAATCTTTCTTATCCATAGTCTATCGCACTGTTTAAAAAGAAGTTATGCACTATAGCGCTTACAGGATAGCCCAGGGCGCCAAATCGAACCCTGCCGGGACACCGGCGGACGCGTCTGTTTTAATTTAGTGAACAATTATATTAACCCAAGCTTATCCGCAAACGGAAAGAGGTAAACAGTGAGGACATTTAAGAGCTGGCTTCTTAACTGTTATTGAGTTAAAAAAATAATTAGTAAACAGTACGCTCAGTGTATAAAATAAATAAAAGGCAGTATTTAAAATACTTGATCAATTCCCGCTAATTCTGTTATTATTTTTTCCCAACACCGAAACAAAGTAATAAAAAGTTATTCCCCCCCCCCAGATGTAGTGGTTTTTAAAGGGAAGTAATTGTGTTTTCCTATTTTATGAAGGGAAATAATAAGAGCTAAAGGTTTAAAAATGTAAATAATTTTCAGAAACAATTAGAATTTTTGTGAACGATGATGCATTTTTTAAAATTTTATTTGACTGACAAGCCGACAATTATTACTATAAGTTTGAAAGATGAAAATTGTTTTACAGCTCCTTCAATATTAATAAAAAAAAGATGATTTCTCTAACAAAAGAATAAAAAATAGATGACCTTACTGCGTTTAAGTGTATCTAGTTCTGTTTGAATTATACATTTTCTGTGCATACGTGGAATATTGATTTCACTACCTATTTTGACCGTGAATTTTGTTATAGTTTACTTAAATATTTCTAACTGTTAACTGCGTTTACTTTTGGAATTTTTGTGTGTAGTATTCGGTCGTGTCTTTAATCGCTGCGCTGTATCTGAATTTTGTTTAGTAGTGTTATGTTATAAAAGTATGATTATGTAAGATTTGTATTGGGTAGACTGTTATTCTAACGAGTTGTTTTTCATATTAGTTTCTTTTTAGATGAAGCTTAGTTTGAGGTTCATGTTTCAATTAATAATAAGATTCCTGTTAGCTTTTTAAAAGTATGTTGCTTTTAGATTGTAGTTAATTTAAATTAAAAATAAAATACTAAAATATCACACTTGAGAACTTTTTAAATTATTAGTATTTAAATGCACAAAGCAACGCAATATGTAATGAAAATAATGTGAATTTGAGTATTTGTTAAAGTTGTTTTTAGTCAGCATAGGTCGTTAGTGACAGCAGAAAAAGATCATTCAACCACAGCTGTAGAATTGTTTAAAGTTAAACAAAAGCAAATAAGTCCGATATTGACATTTTGAAATTTCATTTAAAAAATTTTCTATATGTTTTTAAAAGACTAATATTTTAGAATTCTTTTTGTTTTTATTTCAATACAAAATGACAGTATCAATTATTTGAAACTACTTTTCCAGGCCAAACGATAATTTGAAAGATTTTATTCTAACGCCCACTACACCCGGACTGATGTTTGTTGGAAACAACGTCTTTAACCCCTACCTTCACTTTGGGCAGTCAACGCTGTGGCCCAGAGGTTTCCCACTTTCTTACATTGGCAAAAAACAACAAAGATTGTACAAGTAAGAAAAACAGTATAAAATGTTATTAAAAAGTGCTTCTAACTTCACTAAGTGAGAATAATTATAAGCACGTTCGGGGTTCTGCTGCAAACACTTGGTCTGAACATAATTGCTATTAATAATACAAACCTAATTATTTCTTATTGGCAATATTATATCTTCCATGTTTAAAATATATGTATAATCATGTATGAATAATGTAATTTTTCTGTAATGAGATTTAACTTGAAAATAGTTATACTTTTCTCATTCCAACTTTAGAGTCAGCAGCAACTGGAATACACCCACAATTCAACAAGGCTTAGTTAATGGCGATCCGGATATGGATGCTATTTTTAGACTGTCCAGGAAATCAGAATCTACTCCTTTAAATGTGACCTTTGACCCATTAGCTCCCCCTGCTATATTACCTGAGGGTGTATTCAGCCCTTTTAACTCACAGAACACCTTGTTTCATCAAGCAGCTTTTTGGGCACTTTTTATTCCAACAACAACGACATTCCGCATGTGCGACATCTGGAGAGGATATTGGGCACAAAGACTTATGTGGGAGATTGGAGGAACACTTGGCTTTTTCCCTGCTAACGCCTACCAGGTACGGAATTCACATTCTTATATCGAAGATGCCAAGCTGGAGAAAGACATGTATTTCCAAACTGAAGAACTTATCGAATTCCTGAGAAATTGGAAATGCGAGGAAAACATGAGATTCTTTCAATGTGTTATCAAACTAACGACGGACATGGCAGATCAGAAGTATTGGCAACACGAGGATGTCAAGTCGGTCAGGCTGTGGTTAAATGATCTGAATAAGCTTGGATACCAAGAGCCGCAGAGGATCCAGTTTCGTGAGATTATATTAAATACAGAAGACAATGATTTACATGGAAAAATCCTTGTTGATAACTTCGCTACTGGTCTTGTATATAAGAATATATCCTCACTCAACAATGTATGGTATTCATCAGTAGAGCAGGAGGAGCCTTCTTTAAGTCAAGTACCGAGCAACAAAAAAAGTGAACACACACATGTAGATAAAATGGTTTCAATGTGTGATAATTTGAAGTATATTTCTTTAAGCAAAATTTATGATAGACAATTGAAGAACACGAGCGCATTTTCAGAAACTCTGCTAATAGTGGTTTTTAATTTCCCATTCTACAAGAATATACGATACTTAGATGCTATCCACAATCAGGTTTTTAAGTACATAGTCTACTGTGGTGAGAACATCCATTTATTTCTACAGGAAACCGGTGATCTGGGTAAAACGTTAACTTTTATTGAGGTGTTTGTTGACACAGGTATGTACGGCTACATGTGTGCGGTCAAAGCTATGGAGATGGGATACAGAGTTAGCGGCTTTTTAGTAGTTGGTGATGACGTTCTATTTAAGCCTTGGGTATTGATGAATATGAACAAAAGTCAAGCGGGTATAACACATCGTAATATATTGTACATAAATACATCAGAAACTACAAATGCGTGGCAATGGTGGGGTAGAAAAGTTGGTAGACAGGCGTACTTGCAAACTATACAAGATTTGCATAATAATCAAGATGTTCCTTTAGGGGTTAAGGACATCAGAAGCTTTTTAAATACGTTATACACACAAACAAGATCAAAAGAGCTTGTTCCAAAAGGTTACAGTGACTTCTATTACATTCCCAAAACACTGCAGCGTTCTGCTATTTGGTACTTGACGAAGTTTTATTCCAACAAGCTGTTTTTAGAGATTGCGGTGCCTGTCATGTTTTGTGGGCTGGAGCACAGGGAGAGGCTACAATGGTTTCGTGGCGCAAGTGGCAATCATGTAAAGGAAGATTTGAAACAATTTTATTTAACGTCCTATTCATTTACTCACCCGGCCAAGCTGACCTATCCAGAGACCGTGGCCGTGTATTGCAATCATTATTTTCCTGACCTGCTGAAGAAATTTTTTAAAGTTGAAATAGAACAGCAACATAGAAAAAAACTGAACAAGAAACACAAATGACAAATGTGGTATTAAATGATTTGTTCAAATGTCACTGGAATTAATTAATGAAAAATTGCTAAGTCTGCGTAGATGAATCCATGAAGGGATATCTAAGGACAAATAATATGAGATAAAATATCCCATATATACCACGAACAAATGATCTCAAGGACAAAGGAATACTTGGACAAAAAAAATCAGGACAAAATATATCAGGACAAATAATCTCATGGATAAAATATCTCAGACATAATATCTCACGGTAAAATATCTATAGCAGTGGTTCCCAACCTTTTTCGAGTGGCGACCCCCTTTTATAAAAATTAAGTGACCCGCGACCCCCATAGAATTAAAATGCCGAAATTAGTATGGAAATTAATAAGCACTAAAATAACATTTTCTAGTAGACTTTCAATATGAACTACTCTTGATAACTGTTTTAATACCATGAGTAAAATTGCATACTATTCACTAAACATTCGTGGTTTATTTTTTTTAAAGCATTTTTTTAACCCCAACCTATGTCATTATAATTATCTTAATTTTGTTTTTAATCGAAAAATAGTGTTGAAAATCTATTCTCGAAAAGTCAATCAATTTTACGTTTGGGTATAAATGGTGAATACTACACTAAAATTGAGTGTGCAGTTTTTTATCTTACGCGGAATCATTCTACAAATCAAAGTATTCATCTTGTAATTCAGGGGTCTCCAAACTTTTTAGTCCGAGGGCCGATTTAGCAATCAAATTTCAGTTCGGGGGCCAGTTTCTTCCAGGCATGTCTTTGATTTTTCTGGGCAAAGTTCCTAAGCCATCACCAACAAACGTTTTTTCCGTGGACAACAAGATTTTCTCGGGCCGGATGAGAGGACATCGCGGGCCGCATTCGGCCCGCGGGCCGTAGTTTGGAGACCCCTGTTGTAATTCATCGTGAATGCTGGCAACATCGAGGAAAGAAGAGAATGGATAATGCGTTTGCAACTAGCTTCATACCGACGAAAGAACTCCATATCTTTTTTGGTGTGTTTCGAATGACTTGTCTCAATGACGGTTTAGTTTTGAAGATTTCATAGATTCGTGACTGAGAACAACTTTGTACAGTACGCTTTACTTCTTCTCTATTCCCTTTCCAGTGATGTTAGTAAAGCCGAATTTCAAAAATTCTTCTAAATATTTATGTTTTGTTTCAAATTACTAAGGTTTATTGTACCAGTTGGCGACCCCCCAGAAAGCCCTTCGCGACCCCCAGGGGGGTCGCGACCCCCAGGTTGGGAACCCGTGATCTATAGCTTTCAAAATTATTTCAGTCAATTATAATATTTATTAAAATAGATTGTCAAATGGTTTTTACTTTTTTTTTAACATATAATGATTTGCGAGAAAAGGTTTGTCGCATAGGTTTGTCACATTACATTAAACATATTAAACCCACAATTAGCAATAGAATATTTGTCGATTAAAGCAAAGTTTCGATAGACAGTGTAGGTGGGCTTGCCCATCATTACACACCTGCATTTTTAAGAAGTTAGGTTGAAGCTTGACATCAACCAAAAAAGAAACGTTACCGCTTCGCTTATATTGTTTATGCACTAAAACACTGCTTTTTTAAAAAGGAAACTGAAGACTATTTCCTGTGTTTTGAACATTAGTGTAGTAAAGGGCTTCCATTATTTTATCTGTTTTATGAATTTTCACGTCTTACCTGTAGTTTACATTTAAAATGCTTTTCGAAAAATGTTTGTGTAAAAATAATAAATATCATGTGCCCATCAATTTTAGTAAATAACTAGACTACCCGCCATTTTTGTTATAAAAAGTAAATAAATTATGTGACGTCACTATAAGTAAAGTAATTGTTCTGAAATTTTATAATTACTGTGGTTAATCTAATAATGAATATATCAATACATTAATTAACGTTTTAAAATTAATTTGTGATTAAAAGTTTGTTTAAAAAAGATAATTGTTCTCTACCTAATTACGTATTGTACAGCTCTACATATAGTGCAGATTCTATCCTGTAACCAAACGGACAAACAAATAAATATTCAAACATCTGTAAATAATGTTGAGTTTTAGTGGCATATAGATAAAATCGATTAACATCATTCTGAATGATGTAAAAATTTTGCCGTGAGGTATTTTTTGTTTGAGATATTTTGTCCGATATAATTCGTCCATGATGTAGGGCCTATTTTGTCCTGAGATTTTTTGTCCTGAGATAATTTGTCTGGGATATTTATATAATTTATCCTGAAATGCATTAGGTTTAGATATTTTAAATTGTATTAAGATATGTACTTTTACGTATTGTTTTTTTAATTCTTAATAATACAACGACACTACTAAAGAACTGGGCAACTATATTAAAAACTACTTTTGTGTAATGTTTGTTTTTTGCTTTACATCTATATACTACTAAAACTCAACTTTGTTTACATGTTTGAATATTTATTTGTTTGCCTGATCGAAAATTGTGATATGTTCGACTCTATCTGGAAAGCTGTAAAATGGTATGCAGGTAGAGAATAATTTTTTAATGCAGACAGACTGTTGATCACAAATTTATTTAAAGACGTTAATTAATTTATTGATTTATTCCTACGCAGAATAACCCATTTTTTTTTAAAATGTTAGAACCTTGACTAAACTTTGTGGGAATAGTGACGTCACAGGTTTTTGTTTACTCTTTAGTACAATAAAATGGCGGCGTCTATTGAAGAAAATTGTGTTCCCATTCAAAAGTTTAACGCGTTCTAAATCTAATTTTCTGTCGGTCATAACTTTAACAATACGTCCGTTTGCTGTATTTATTACGTTCCAACACTTATATCAATTTTCAACTGTCTTTTTCATTTAGTTTTACGATAAATTTCTCTAGATCTAAAGATCAGCTATCGAAGGAAATTTATGAATCTAGCCTAGATCTAGATCTAGCCTAGATGTAGGTCACTAGATTCAATGTAAATTCTACATCTAGAATCTATTTCAGGCCTTAATTATTTTATATAAATCTTTGTTTGGCTTATTTAAGATAAAATTTAATTTGAAAGTTAGTACTACTAGACTTATTTTTAGATCTAGAATCTATACGCGTAAATCAAGTTGCATAAGGAGACACATAGTATAGTATAAAAATTCACTTGTGACGTCACGAGTAAATAGCTAAAATGGTAGCGTAGTCAGCTCTCATGCAGGAGGCACGGGTTCTAGACCAATATGTCAATGAAATTTTTTTTTTCAATTTTTTTTTTTAGATGTGAATGATAACGTTGCCTATCTGAACTTGGCAAGATACAGGGCAGGTGAAGTAGAGTTCATCTGTTTCTTTGTCCTAAGCATATGAAAGGATAGTGTGGTCAGATACATGCTCGGCTGGAATTGTTTTTTAAACGATAAAAACATGTTGTCTGAGACTTGGCAGGACACTGGGCAGGTGAAGTAGAGTTGAGTAGGTCACCTGTGACGTCAGTTTATGAAGGGATAGTCCGAAATCGGTGTTTTCGGTGTTTTTAAAAGATAAAAAACATATATTTGAATGTGGGGTCTGTTTTTTGTGACGATAAGTGACACTGCAGTAGCGTACCGAGGAGGGGGGGGGACGGTAGGGGAGGGGAGGCGGGGGGTGGGGAGGGGAGGCGGGGGGTGGGGAGGGGAGGCGGGGGGGGGGAAGGAGGGGTGGGGAGGTGGAGGGGGGAAGGGGGGGGGGACATATGTTGGGGCGCCAAAATGGTTTGGAAAAATAAATTGATAGGTTGATGGGGTTCAAATCGAAAGTTTGAGTGGGGGGGGGGGGGGGTGCACATCAAAAGTTTGAGGGGGGGGGGGGGGGGTTCAAATCGAAAACTTTGTCCCCGGGCGCCGGGAAGGGTCGCTATGCCTCTGAGTGACAGACGTGATGTTTTTTGATGGATGACCCCCGAAACCCACAGTTATCCAACGGATGACGGGTATTCTAGTTTTATTTAAATGTAAACATTTAATAAAGAACATATCCAAGATTTAGTATTGTTTTTAAACATACTTTTGATTTGATAAAATACTTTATTTTCACTAGCTATTTCTTTATAAAACAGTACAAAAGTTAATCGAAGACGATATGGCTTAAGAGCAATGTAGAAATCACAGTATTACAATTATATAATGCGCGCTTTAATCAAATATAATATAAACATTTGTTACAAATATTGGATTATTATCAACATAAAACACTTGCATTACCGATGAAAGCATTGGGGATCCTTTCCTGATGAAAATATTTTTCTTAAAAATGACCTATTGTTGGGGAATTAATCAACCATAATAAGTACCAATAAAAGACCACTTTCTGTACAACATTAAAATAAAATTCAGACAATTAATGCTTCGAAAGCTCCAACTAGCGTGGAAATGTAATGTTATCATGTAATGATACATATAAGTTCCTCTTTCCTTTTTCCATGCACCAAGCGAAGCACTCGTTAAATTAATAGAAAATCGGCTATCCACACCTTTATGGTTGATAACGCACTTTTACAATTCTTTGTAACAGATTTTCATACATTACATGGCCAGCACTTAACTCCAAGTGTAATACTTTATCTGTATTATTTAACCTCTAGAGTTCTACATATTATTAAACAGTCTATATATTTCTTTATTAAGGGGTCTCTTTAAGTGAGTGTCATACGTCGTAAGCTGCTAATTTAGTCAGGATATACTATGTCCATTTTATTCTTACCCGAATTGAAGAAATATGTAGAGGTCTTGTAACAGCATTTAAAGTCAGTTAATTTAAGAATAGATTTTAATTTGGAGCGTAAGCTCTACTTCCAGGAAAAAGCTGTTAAAGTGGATGAAGCGACTCTCTATTAGGCCAAAGTCAAGTAGTTGGATAAAACATTACTTACACGTTGATTAAAACTTTAAAAAATAATAACTCTATAAAGCCGGGGTAATTCCACACACGGGGTAATTCCACACACTACATACTAAATACTCTCTATTTTTAATGTGAGTAAAGTTTAATTAAAATTTAC